TTTTTGTTTTTGCCGCCGCCCCCCCCCCCCGAACTGTGCAGTACTTTTCAAAGCCTGATACAGCCCCACTGCTAGTGTCTGTTTTTTGGAGCAAAATGAATCATTTCAGAAATGAGGCGATGGTGGGTGCAGCTGAGCTACAGCAGCATCCCTCTGTTCATGGCAGCCCTCTACTTTCTTTTTGCCTCTGTCAGCGGATTCATTTTGAAATGAAGAAACAAACAAACAAACATGGTCGCTTCTGCCTCAAGCATTACCAGCGTGACCCATTCAGCAGCTGGGATCTGAGCTGGTGCATGAGCTGGGGTGATGTCCAGCTCCCCCTCCTTCAGGGCCAACTTCCCTTGGTCAGTGAGCGCAGCAGGTCTGATGGCAGGCAGGGAGTCCTGTCTGCCTCTGGGCTTTCTTAGCTCCTCGGGTAAAATGTCCTTGCATGATGCTGATGCATGATTTATTTTTTTTCCTACCTAAAAAGTACACAAGCCAAAGATGAAATTCTGTGGTTGCTTAGTCAAATACATCTGCCTCCAAGAGTTTTAATTCTCAAAACTCCCAGCAGTCTGATATAACAGCAAAATACAAAATAGGATTTAAAGAGATCATGCAGAGCAAGATGCTGATTTTACACTAGTTTATATGGGGATGATTTGTATTCTGAAACAAATGGCTGCTCTAGTGTGAGCAGGAGCCGTCCCAGGACCTCCCTCCTTGCAGACGGACCTGAGTTTCAGAGGGGCACTGCAAAGGTCGGTGAAGTCCTACCCACCATTGCGGCTGGGTGCTTCTCTTTGGTGTGGTGGGCACCCCGCTGAAGGCAGGGCAGGGGAGACACTTTGATGAGTTTATTTCATTGTTTTATCTCTCATTCTATTTAAACTAATTTTTGCTTCTGACTGCCTTATGTACATTTTAGAATACCATGAATTTGCCTTGATCCTCATTTACCCATGTGCCCCATTTACTCCTTCATTTTTCAGCCTTCGCAACACAGGTTTCTCTACCTGTCCTCTCTGCCTTTCCTCCCACCGCTGCCAGAGCTGTTCTGTCACCCTCCTTGGCTTTATTGGCCACAATAATCCTTTGCTTGGGAGAAAGTCCAAATTAAAATCCTACCCCCCAGCACAGCCGAGAGTCCCCTTCCCACAGCCTGCACCCAGAAATGCCTCTCTTACCTGTTGCAGAGCCTGGAGACCAGCATCAGGGGTGACTAGAAGGGACAACAGCATGTACCTGCTAACTGCTACTCTATTTATGTGCTGAATTAATTGCTCAGAAGCTGTTATCACCTGTTCTGGCCCTGCTGCCCAGCTGCTTGAAACCAGTGGTCTGCTGAAACTACTGGTCACACCAATGTCAGGGTGCACCCCAGGGGCTGGAGACATGCCAGACCCACGCTGGGCTCTGGTGGAGCCGATAGCAGGGAGTTAACTGATGAGGTTTGGCCATAGTAACCCTGCGAGTAGCCTGCGAGGAGTGCTTACTGTTCCGTATGAGCAGGCAGCAGCAGCCTCTCTGTTGTTCTGGAGGATGAGAGCAGCAGAAGTTCATTTGCAATAACGTCATCTTTGAGATAAGGGCCGCTTTGGTGAAACACTTCCCCAGGAACGTTTTTCTCACTGTATGTTGCAATGTGTGGCCAGGCAGAGGCAGAGCCACCGAGAAGCAGCGAGGTGCCAGGACACCAGGATGTCACTGCTCCCACCAGCATGGCCACCTTGTCTACCCTGTGGCTGTCAGGTGCTTTTCTCCCCACCTTGCCCCCCCACAAGCAGCGTTTTCTGCTGTGGGGTGAGCCTTGCTGTGTGCCTTTCTGATGCGCCTGCAAATAACCCGTGTGACCTTTTATTCTGCATTGCTTTCCTGTGACTGAAGGTATTTTTCTGTTTGTGGATGGAAGAGGTTAATAATTCACCTGATGGCCTTAATAAAGAAGCTGTTTGCAATGAATGAACCATAACCACTAGATTAAATCTGAATACGTTTCTCCCTTCCCTTGGCAAGCATTTTATGCTGATTTGGGTTTCTGACTTAACAAAGCATACAAAAGATAGACGATGAAAGAGAAAATGCCTTTGCTGATGTACAGTTTTAATAACACAGTCCTGGATTTTTTTCAAATCAATAGTTTTCAGAAGCACCCAAATCTGATTGAAATCTCAAAAAACTACTTTGATTAATATCTTGAGAGACAGATTATTCCAATAAATATTTTAGTTTTTTGGTATAATGCTACTAGAATATGTTCCTAGTGATAGCACTTATGTGGCCCCACAATGAATGTGACAAAGAATATGGAAAACAATGTTATCTATTTCATAGCTTTTAAAAGATTGAAACACATTACCAAAATGTTCTTGCACTGTTCTGTTGCAGTAGGGGTGGGCTGTGGGCTGAACCGAGTGTTGGGCTCCAGCCACGACCCTTGGACCAGGTCGGTGTTGATCTCCTCTTTGCGAGCTGATCTGGGCTGTCTGTCTTCTCCTTGAACCCCACGGGCAGCTGCTGGCTTTGCACGGTGGTGCGCCTTCCCCACGCCAGATCTCAAAGTTGGGGATGCACTTGTGACCACCAGCCTTCCCAGAGAGATCTACAGAGCCCTGTGCTGCTGGCCCTGCTGCCCTCCCCAGCCAGGCACAGCTCTTCCCAAAGAGCTGGAAACGTGTTTCTACAAATGTAGTTTTGAGGCTAAATGTGTAAATCGAGTACACAATGGCTATTTTCATGTTGATTGTCTTTACAGTCATGGTCAAAACGAAATGGCAATTTTCTGCCATGCCTGTTTTCATTCTATTTCTATCAAAAAGCTCTGGGCAGTGATACAGGAGAAGGCTGCTGGCCCTGCTGTGCTGATGGCCATCGCTTTTCTGTTTCGATTGTGTTTCCCTTTTGGTCCTGCCAGGCTGTTGCTCCCCCTTTCCAGGAGTGACGTTCCTGTCAGTTCTTTGGTGAAGGAGTTTCCTCAGTGCCCATGTGGCAGTGGTGATGGATGGTGCTGGCAGGGCGGTACAAAGCCTGCTACCAGTCACGTAACAACAGACCTGGGCTCAAGGTTGTTCACCAAAATAACGTAATTGGTGTCAACGGCATTGCTTGCATTTCTGTCCCTCTGGATGGGGTTGGTTTCACTCAAGCAGGCGATGTGGGAATCAAAGGGATACCCTGGGCCTCGTTCATCATCACCCTGTTGACCTGGTGAGAATGATGATTTGGTGTGAAAGAGGCACAAAAAAGCAAGTGGCAAAGGGGCTCCAGGGTTGCCTACGGGGAGCAGCACTGGGGATGGTGGCACTGGGTGAAGGAAGAGCTCAGGTCTAGTCCTGCCCTGGCCAGACCCAAGGACCAAGCCGCCTCCTGGTCCCTGCATCACCACAGGGCCGGCTCCACGGCAAACGTGGCTTTCGCTTTGGGGCCAGCCCAGGTACAGCCCAGGTACAGCCTAGGTACAGCCTAGGTACAGCCCGGGTACAGC